ACACGACTCCCTTCCCATGTGAATGAGGAACAGCACTGGATGAGACAGCAATGCCAAAATGTTTCTTGGCATTTTCCACTGGTGGTCCCAGAGAATTTCCTTTGCACCTCAGTGTTCCCAAGACATTCATAAACCACTTCTCTGGCTACCCAATGTGATGATAAACTTGTGTCCCCAGGTTTCATTATCAAGCTTTTAATCTAAGCCTGAACTCTCTGATCTGTCATCTGAAGTAGTGGGGGAATTTGCAGCAGGGTTTTTCCCAGCAAACAAAAACAGTTCACTTACTAAAGACATTATGTAGAATATATAACTTACAGATAGAAGAATTTGGAAATCTGGATGTTTATTTTGTAGTTTTGGGGATTGCTGTTGTTTAACTTCATTATGAGGCTGTATCTTACATTTCCAATATTGTAAGTAGGGCAACAAATTTCAACCAAAAAGAGTACTTGAGACTCCTATTGATTTTGATGGGGTTTGTGGATAAATACTGACAAACATTACATAATGTAGGCATTTACATTTTCTTAAGCCTTGTCTAGACTTGGATTTTGAAGGTGTGATACACCATGTGACTAATACAATGCAGTTAAGGCAATGTGGTTTTAATGCACGGCTTTAACCCTGGTTGTTTTCAGGCAGCTATTACTTCATTGTATTTAGCAATTACTAATCTAGAAACCATCAATGGTAAATGAAAAGAGAGGTTACAAATCAAAGGCAGGCTGATCTTGCGGTTACACCTTTCAGATGTGGCCTCCTGCTACACAAGGCTATCTCACCTCTGACAGTACAGAAATAAGGGCTCCCCAGCTCTACTTACCAACACCTGTGTGGTACTACTTCCCCAGGGAAGTGGTGGAATCACCGTCCCTGGAAGTGTTCAAAAAACATGTAGATGTGACACTTAGGGATATGCTTTAGTGGTAGACTTGGCAGTGCTGGGTTAATGGTTGGAGTCAATGACCCTAGAGGTTTCTTCCAACCTTAACAATTCTATGATTCTGTGATTCTATGTGTTGGCTGCAAGAGCAAGAGGCTGTGGGGCCATGTGTGGATGTTGAGGGTGTGGGCCTGCAAAAGGTTAACAAGTAGGTGTGCTGGGGACTGGGGAGGTGAGCAAATGACAGGAGGGAGAGATCTGAGTGTGCAGCCACCAGGTGTAGATTTGAGGTGGGGGACAATAGTAGTTATGGTACTTGGGAGTGGGCGAGGATAGGGCAGTTGACGTAGTGGGTACAGTGAAGGGACATAACTTGGTGCCCAGAAAAGCCAAGCATCTTAAAATGTTATCAGCATCTCTGTCTCCTCCAAACCTATGCCAAGAAGCCTTCCCTACCAATGAACCCAGTGCTTCTGCCTTCTGGGATGGCTGGCTAGAAGGGCTGAGGGTCTAAAGGCCTCAAAGCACAAGCCCTTGCCTGGAGCTCTCACACAGATCCAGGAGCTGAATTCCAAGCAGAGGAGTCTGGCAGCTGTTCTCTCCTGCCATCACCCATCCTTGGTACCCTCAGACCTGTTTGAAGTAATCTGATACATTTTCCCACTAGCCAAGAACTATAATTCAGGGAAAAACCACCATCCTGGAGTAAGTACATGCTGCAGAAGAGGCAGAGGGGACCATGGTTATCCCTCATAAAATTCTCTTCTGTGAATATTCCCATCTCCACTGTGGTGGCACGTGGGTACACTGGGACAATGGAACCAAGGAGAAGGATTACTCCAAGTGCTATAGTTAGTGAGGATGATCCACTCTGAAGTCCTTCAAATCCATCATGATGGGCCATTCTGGATACTGGAGTCACACTTCCCTAATTCCTCAAACTGGAGCCCAAACCAGCTCTTTTGACCCAGTAGGGCCAAAGTGCTCTGACTTCTATCCACAAAGATCAGTGCTTGGTACATCAATTTATAGCAGTCCTTACAAAAATCAGGGTTAATCCAGATGTGTGATTTGGGCCTAAAACTGCCTGTGATAAATTCCTCTTTTTTTCCCCAAATTAACTTGAAAGTTTATCTGAGTGCTGTGTAGAGCATCGCTTAGAGCATCGCTTAGAGCATCAAAGTTTGCAGAATATGCCATGTAGGAATACAAGTATGACACTCATTGGTACTTGAACCTTGCCTGATGCACCAGGAGTTGTGTTTTCAGTACGAGGCTCTGTCCTCCTTGCTCTGCTTTTCAATCTCTATGAAATCACCGGTCATGTAAACGCCTGTGCAGACATACTGAACGTGAGTAATGCAGCATCTGTTGCTATTAATTAAACTGTGGTTTATATCTTTGGAATACATGGTATTATCCTCGATGGATGTGGCTTTATCTCTGTTATTACAATATGGAATTAATTAAGAATATTAAAGTTTGTCTTTAAAAAAATGATATTTCCAACTTTTATCTATGGAGGCAACATTTTCATATCCATTCTCTCCTAAAGGCAGCATCCTTTGGAAAGATGTCATAGACACATTTAGGTAAATATTATTCCTCCAGCACACATGGTTTCCATTGCAATTGATCCCCTGCTGTCTCCTTCCAAGCACTTTCCTCTGTTACATATTCCACAATGGTGGCTGAAATACTGATCAGCGATAGCAGAGACAAACTGACTCCAGCAACTGGGAGTTTTAAGGGCAGCAAATGTTTGTATCTGAGTTTGTATGTACTGTAGTTACTGAAATACAGGTTTTAGGTGTGCACTGAAATTTTCAATGGCATTGAAAGTCTAAAGTTGCTTGAGACAGTTATAATTTAATAAAAGGATAGGATGAAGAAAGACTGACTGAGTGAGATGGGACATAAAGATAGTGCACTACAAAACAACCACAGGGGCCCAAAAGCTGTAGAGGAAATGCTTGCTCCTGTAGCCTCCCCTTAGGGTTGTGAGCAGCCTGGGTGCTTCACACAGACCTGGCATAGAAGCTGCACCTGAACTTCAAGTGAGTTGCCTGAACCTTGGGGGTCACAAGCTGCTCTCTGGAGGCTAGCAGAGAAGTAACCCTACATGCTTTTAAACTGGCACAGCCATTGGTAAAAGTTTCTTAACAGATGATAACGGCAAGAAGCTGGGAAAAAGCAGGGTGGGAACTGCTTTTTCCAGAGACTATGTTTCATCAAACACATGTCAAACTACAGTTCCAGATGTGGTAGGGTGAGAAAACATTTTGCATCACCCAACATTCACTGGGCACCAATGGGCTGCAGTGGGATGTCACCCCAAATCAGACTGAAGCTGGCATGCTCACCAGTGCCATGAGGAGCTGCACAGAAGTACAAGGAAAATTGGTGCATACACTTTTGCCAGCATATTTGCAGCATCTTCTGAGACTCTAGGACATGAACAGCATTGGACATAAAGGTGTGCTTGCGCCCCAGTTGTTTCTCTGTGCTAGCAGGATGAATGTGCTCATGAGGGTTCAGGCTCTAAGAATGCACCTACTCATTTACAAAGGGTGGTCTAAACATCCTACAAAAGCCACTTGCTGTGGCAACAGCAGATGGAGCATTGTGATACTTTGGAGCCTAGCTTCTCCTTTTATTTATTTATTTATCATTATTATTATTCCTTGTTTATTATTATTACATCTGCTCAAAACTTTTAAGGCAGGATGACGTGGTCTCTGCTCCCAGGGTCTAACTGCAGGTTTGACACTGGAACATGCGTTTATCCAAGCAACACTGCCATACCCTGCACCTTCACCATCTGCTGAGGGGCTGGACCTGACTGCCTGGCAGGCAACCTAAAATGAAAACTTGACAGAGAAATGTGCAATGTGAAAGGAGCATAGCACAACAAAATACATTTTTTTTTTTTAACTGGGGGTTATTTTTAAGATGGGAAGATCTTTCTAGCACAAACTGGAATCATTTCAAGTTCTGCATTCTGTTTCTTCCTCTCTGAAATGACCCCAGGCTGGCCCTTGCCCTTGCTTTGGAGAATACTTCTGATGTGTACCTCAGGAGGCTGAGATACCGAAAAAACTCCCATTACCTTTTGCTAATGTAGAGCACCACACAGCAGATGCCAGAAGCCCTGCTCAGTAAAACAATAGCGGACCCCTGGAAGGACTTATCCTTCAACTTCCACAGGATCCACTGTAATGGAGAGAGTGGTCTGTGGCTGTCCATTTAAAAAGCCTTGCCTTCACAAAGCCTGCAGCAATGTGGCCATCACTAAAAGCCTTCTTGTTGTGCTAACTAGGAATTCTCATTAATTGGTATCACTATCAGAGTCCTCAAGACCCAGAGTAAGCAGCAGGGGTTACAGTGCATGAGAAAGCCCCCATGCAGTGGCATTGCTGTAGGTTAATTGACTACTAATGACCTGAAAGGTGAGGTCCTGCACTAGGAAACACAGGGTCAGACCATCAAAACCACAGCACAGCCCCAGACAAGAGCTCAGGAGCCTTTGTCCGGAGGTGCCCCAGCAGCTGCAAGACCCCAGAAGGAAATGGCCACACCACTGTAGGCTACAAATGGCTGTATCCCTAAAGTGGTCATTTACAGTGTGGGCTAAGCAGAAAACAATGTGGCATCACCCAGTGTGGCTCTCCTGCACAAGGCCAGAGACTTCCCCTATAAGGCATGAGGTCAGTGGCCATCTGGGCTTTCCCTGACCATGCTACAGCAGACAGAGTGCTGTATGGTCACTGCTTCCATGCATTGCCATTGCTATCTGTTACAGTCTGAAATTATATTAACCCTCACCTATTTTTCAGAGGCCACATCTACAATTTTAGTGAAGAGCAGTTGCAGGAGGCTCTTGGGACCAGACTGTCTCCTCTACACTTATGAGCCTGCTAGCACAGCCACAGAGCATCCTCCAAGCCCTAAGTGTCCAAGGGGCTCAGGAACATTCATACACTGCTTAAAGCACTCATAGGCTGGCCTCAGGACTGGGTGATGCTAGGTGAGATAAAGGTGGTAAACATATTTGTTCATTTGGTTGCAGTAAAGACTTAGACAATTAAAGAAAAAAAAACTTTTCACAGCATACTTAGAATAAAGTCATTCTTTATCATACAAAGTCACACCTTACACATAAATAATTTGAATGTCTTGCTCTTTCATGGAAAGTAACAGAGAAAAACCTTCAAGGTTGATACATGGGAGCTGGTATTAAAAATCACATAGGATCAAACCCAAATCCTGGATCCAGAGTTGACCTATACACCACTTCCCTCCCCTACACTGGAAGGAACTGAAACAGGACCCTCGTTGGAAGACCACCCCCATCATCAACCTCCAGGTAAGGATCCCCACCCTGCACCCTTGGCCCCCTCACTGAAATCCCATCCTTTACATTTGCAGTGGTATGAAATCCCAATTGGTAGCTGCAGAAAGAGCCATTACCTTCTGGAAAGTGCATTATCCATAGGTTTTTGGAGGTGACTGAAATAACAAAGCCTACCCAAGCTGGATCCCTTGCAGCTATTTCTATTTCTTGACTGACAAGCTGGCCAAAGCAGCAAAGCTAAGTATTGCACAGTCTAGCGGCATTTGACTAAAACTGGGACCATTTATGTGGAACAGCAGTGTGGGAACAGAAAATAAGCTAGCGGAGCAGCAATGAGAAATCTGAGCTTTGATCAAGGAGACAGCAGCATTTGACTCTATCTGAACTGGCAGGGAGATCCCATCCCAAAGCAAAATAAAATATGTCATTCTTTCCAGCAGATGAAATTCTCCCCAGCGGTTTGTTCCTCCCAGGATCATTTTATGTGATCTCATTGTCTTTAAAGTCTTTCCCCTGAGGAAGCTGAACGTTTAATATAGACTACAGCATTAGTATCTGGTATTAAATCAGTCCAGCTACTCTGAAATGAGGCGAGTGGGCGTCCTGGAAAGGAAATAAAAACACAAGTTTAATAGAGGAGACAGGTTCACCTTGACCCATGCTATTTATTGCAAAAGACACAGTAACACACTGCTTGCCTAACAGAGGGTCACTCTGCCCTGCCATAGATGTGTTTTACACCCCCAGTAAACTCCAGATGCTCACAGAGCATGCACAAGGAATGCATCAACCAGCCCTGGAGGCTTTTACGTCTTGCTTTGCTTTTCCAAGCTGCCCTAAGAGGGACTAGCACATTCCCACAGCTCTCATTAATCCAACCGGTAAACTTAGGCACTCGGCATTTCAGCCACACACTTTTTGCATCTTTGGCTGCAAAGGCGAGCTGTAAAACTGTGAGGAAGAAAAAATATCAGGAAGGGATTAAAGACTGCAGACACGGTACGGGATGTCAGGGATCAGCACCCAAGCCAGGTGCTGCAGAAGGGGTCTCTGTCCCATGTGCTTGTCCTGCATCCTCGCTGCCACGTCAAGCAGGATTCCTTCCAGGCAGGCATCACACACAGCAACTAACAGCTGCCCCGTGAGGGAGCCAGATGAGATGTATTAGGCACAGCTCAGACAATCCATTGCTGGTGTGAAGTTGGCTCAAAGAGATTTATGTTGCATCCGTGCAAGCACTCTTATATCATTAGTTTGCCACATGCCAATTGCACACAAGCGCATAGAAAAGCTGCATTTTTGGTAGTTTTGGGGGTTTTTTAAAATGTCATGTGAGCTGACAAAACACAATTCTTCAGCACCACTGTGAGTAAAAACACTCATTTACCTCATTTAGTGTTTCGCTTTAAGAAACAATTTAGCTCACGCTTGAAGTGTCAGCTAAATGAGATAATTTATAATAATTCTGAAAACACGCTAGCTGTAAGAGGCTATAATCAGAGCTAATTACAGGGACATTCTGGAAATCCCTTGGCTTGGGGCTTTAGTTTTGATAAAGGGGATAACAAGTTGTAAGCTATGATTCTTTTAATTACAACAATAGTAACCACCTTCTTTTACATGGCTTCTTTCATCTCTGACAACCCCACAGCTTTGCAAACTATCCGTACCACAGGGATTGTTTAGCCTAACACCAAAGTGAAGCAATCTCTGCAAGAAACAAGTAACTGTTTCACAATACCTAGCAGTCCTGTGCAAAATTAGTAGAAGAGAAAAGGTGCAGAAGGAGAACATAATTTCTCTTGTGTCTCCTCAAAAATATTCGGGGAATTTTTGGATGCCCACAGTGGCAGCCGTCTGATCTTGAGAGTAAGGAAGGCAGCTTTTACATGCACCTGCAGACTCAAGGCACTAAGGAGGAAGGCAGCAGCATCACCTCCACTCAAAACTGAGGAAGCAGGGGCACCACGTGGCAGTGCCCTGTCACAGCTCACCTGTCCACGTCCTCTGCTGGGTGATGATAAAACTCTGACACTGTGACTGGGAGTTACAAATTGCAGCAGCTTCCTCGGCGCTGTGAATGGACAGCAGACATCCCAGGTGGCTGTAGGAGGGCCAGCACTTGTAGTCTTCTCCTTCCACTGTTCGGAAACCCTTTAGGGAGATGTAGTCTGGGAACAGAAAGAAGGTGTCTAGGGACACACTTAAAAGTGCACTTTTGGAGACTAGTTATGCCACACACTTAGTGAGTTGCACTTCAGTGAAACTCTCCAAAGAAATGGGATAGACTGAACTGACCTGAGTAGATGGAGTGGGCATGGAGCTGCAAAGTTAAAAGAAACCCAAATCCTGCCTTTTGGTTCTGCTATGGAACACAGGACAGCAATTCCCCCACAGATGTAGGAGAGGGGGCAGGGCTCTCAAGGATGAAGGAACAGGGGTGCAACCATAGGGGTGGGTGAGAGGAGGCTGCTGCACAAGTACACAGGCCCTCCATTTCTTATCCAGGGAAGCCAACCCCACTGTAGCCTCTCCTACACCCCATCCTCAACAGCAGAAGCAGAACCAGCACCAAGCTACATGGGGCACATGCTGACCCACCCATCATGGTTGCCACCCACAGAATCAGGAGATTTAGGAACCACAGTGTGGGAAAGGGAGGCCAGATCCTGCTCCTGATAAGGAGACCAGACAAAAGACAAAAGACCTGACAAGCCTGAGCAGGTAGCTGTTCAGGCTATTGTTCACTGACTGCTAAGAGTCTCTCCCCACCTTCCCACACCTCTATGATCATTATGGCACACCGCTACTGGGCCAGTTGTGAAGCCAACAGGTAGGTGTTGCTGGAAAATACTAGTAATTCTTGTTAAAGCTGTTGGTTCTTCCATGCAAATGGCTGGGTATCTTTGTTCATAACGGTGCAAATCCTACTTCTTTCACATTTAAAGAGATTTCCTTCTGCAAACCACCATCACCTCCCCACCATCTCAGGTGAACTTTCAAGAAAATGCAAACCACAGTAACCACTCGACTTTTGAAGACTTCCTTTTGATCAGCCTCATCTCTCTACCACCAAATGGGTCCTTTTCAGAGGAATGCATCTCATAAAGGCTCATTTATCCATCCACAGGTCAAATGGAATGGTTTTCAGAAAAACGGAACTTAGAGGGCACGAGGTCCCAGTCACACTGCCACACTCATCTCACTGTTGTCACTTCCCCACTGTATGTTCCCATAATAATCTGTGCTCAGCAGACAGAAGTCATCCAGTGAAATGGAAAGTTTCAGTATCAGCCCAGAAAACTGACCTATTGGTCCACAGGATAAGATGATCCCAAGAAGAGACAGGAGACACTCTGCTTTAGTTGCTTAAGCTATCCCAAATACAGTCACTTGAAACACTGATGCTCATTGTGAGAGGAGTATTTAGAAGCACATCTCCATCTGTAGGCCAGATTGTCTGCACTGCTTTTACTTTGCAAAGCAATGCAATCATGTATGGCTCCCATGAAAAAACAACGAAAGGCTGCTCAAAAAAAAGACACTTCTGATTTTTTTCTGGCGACTATACACTGCCTGTATGTATGGGAGATCAGAATTTGACCAGTTACCAATTCCACACTCCCTCAGTAGTTATGCTACTTAAAGCATTCAAAATCAGGTACCTTTTAAAAGAAGAGGTCTTTTCTGCAGATAGAGCCCAGACTTGTACAGATGTAAAACCTTTTCAAAAGCTCTCATGGTTTCATTTATCCCGTATCGTAAATCACCTACATTTAAGGAAAAAGATGACAAAGATAAATAATTCCATGAAATACTTTTTAGTTCCAATAAAGAAGTTCATGGGTAATAGCTGGTACCTGTTGCATTCAGAATATCGCTCAAAAGGGGCCGCAAAGCTGGTGGTGCAGAATGTGGTAAAAGATAGGTGAAAAAATACCTGCAAAAAAATCCCACAGACTGATTAGAATACAGTAGCTTAATTTCCCTGGTGATTAAGTTGTCTGCATTTTCCCGTGACTTGGTTATCCATATGCAACCAGTAAGTCTGCTTCGGTTATAAAGCTACATTTGAGCACATCTTGCTGCTTCACAGACGGTTCCTGTGATTTGGGCTGAAAGCCTGGTCCTTGCAGCACAGCATGCTGTCAAGTACCACGTGAAATCCACCTTGCAAAGGTTCATGCAATGAAATTCCCCCTCATTCCCTGAGCCTTTTTAATACACTAAGCAATGCATTTCCCAACACACACAAAACCCCCCCCCCAAACCCTAAAAACAAAACAAAACAAAACAAAACAAAACCAAACAAAAAACCCCCAAACCCCAACCAGTGTAAAGGAAGACTCATGCAAGGCATTTCTCTTGCCCTGAAAAGGTTTAGCATTCTTATTGCCCCTGGAAAGGTAGGATGACTAATTTTCTGACCCTTTCATGAAACTCCTATTCTAGGGAGACAAGTGCACAAGAGACAAGTGCAACTGTAAGGCTGCAGTAATCAGGGCAGGGATTTGCCCTGTAACACTGAATCCTGGAAATTCAGGCTCCCTTACTAAGTACTTCTCTGTAACTATCCAGTTGCCAAGGCTTCCTCCCAGTAGGTGACCTGCCAAGCACCAACAATGAGCAGAAGCCCCTGCGTTTTCAGCTGATGGCCTACATGGAATGCTGTAGCAGCCTCAGCCCCTTGCCTGTTAACCTGTTCTATTACTCTTCCATAGGTACCCACAGGCCCTACAGGGAGATTCTGAGTTCAAGGTAAGAGTTAGCCTGTTCCCAGCATCAGGGACTCAAAGCTGGTGGGCTTTGGCAGGTAGCTCATGCTGCCACTGCTTTCAGCAAACACGGCCCGTGGATGTCAAGCACTGGGGCTTGTTGGGCAAACAGCATGTTCACAGATGCAAGCTTTGGGGCAGGTTTCTAGAGGGCACTGGTGAAAGGGAGCAGCAAAAGAAAGATGCCTTCATTCTCACCAGACAACAACTGCACTATTTTTCTGCCTTATAAGGAAAATAACCTGCTTCAAAGTGATCCTTAACTACCGTTTGACAGAGGTGAGGGGAATCACCGCACAGAAGAAACACAAGATGCTAGAGCCTACATAGCAGAGTGTGAGCTCAAACACCCCAGATTTTCCCCCATCTATCTGGACATACCGATATGCATTGAAAAGATTCTTCTTTTCATTTATTCCTTCGCATTTCCCAACTGCAGAGCATTTGAGAGGGAAGCTTTTGGTAGGGAAGTCAAGTGTGCAGTCAATATCTTCCTTGCATGACAGCTCCTCAGTGCTGGCATCATCCATGTCTGTCACTTTTAGGTTTCCATCCACCATAACAAACTGCCTCGGCTGGAAATCCAAGAGGACTATTGAACCCAGGGGGGAATGTGCCAAGTAAAAGAGCAGTTTCACAAGACTGAGGCAAATCTGAGAAAGAGAAGATGAATATGCATGGAAAAAACAGATGAAAAACAGCTATTAAATTGGAAGTAGAACAAAGGACAGTGCATTCAGTGAAATTAAAAGGGAAAAAAAGCATATAGAACTTAAAAGGTAATTATATGTATGCTACAAAATTTATTATCAACATTGCCACAGGATTTGACTGGTAAGTAGTTTAGCAACATTTTTTAAAAATGTGTGTATACAAAAAGAGACATTTGCAGTTAGAAGAACTAGAAGAGAGAGCTGTGAGGAAAACAATAGCAGTCTTCATGTTTCAGGACCTATATTGATTTGCTAGCTGAAATCAGAAGGGTTTTTCCCATTCTGGCATAGAATTAATAGATTCTTCTCCCTTCCCTCATGCTGCTCCATACAGACTTAGGCTCCATAGTCATTAATACCAGATTCATGCCTTGATGTATCACTCAGCAATATGAATTTGGGCACACAGTCATGCTTCTGAAGAATCAGTCAAAGCACACAATATATTTACTGCCAGCTCTTTTGCTTTTATGTACCAACTTTCTGGCAGCAGGGAAAGGTCAGAGAATACCTGACCCAGCAGAAAGCTCAGTAAATGACCTTTAAATAAACTAGAGCTAGAAGAGTGCATTAATTCTGTGCCAGCACTTTGCTCAAGTAGCTTTTTGCAGCAGTTTTCATTCAGTATCAGGAGCCCTGGCATCAGACAAGCTGTATCCTCAGCTGGGTGTGCCAGGCAGCCTCACGCCACCCCTCACTGCTCCCGATAGTGATCTGTGCAGGCGTGAGGGTTTTTTCCCTTGGAACAGCTCACACAATTGCTGGTATCTGATGTGGCTCATCACAGGGGAATCCCATATGTTTAGACGCCCTAATTAGGACACAGGACTAGACAGTACCAGTGTAAATTTTGAATTAGTGTCTTCATCAGTCAAGAGATTACTAAAATCTTTAACGCCACTGTACCAGACCTTACCATCAGCTAATCCAGCATCATGAGTTTCTAGCTCTACAGGAGACTTTGGCACATTGGAGAAGATGAGGTGCTGGGAAAACTATGTAGAAGCCAGTATGAAACTGTCTGTAAGCAGAAGTAGAACTCTACAAGCCAAGAGAAATTATGCTGGAAGCTCTGATGCTATTTTAACTTGTTTAGTGAAGCAATCATAAGAATCCCAGCTCCATATCTCACAGCCGAGTGAGCACAGTTGCCACATTCCCCCTCTGGCTTGGATGGCAAGGCTCCTCTTCAACATTAAGGACCTCATGCAGGCAGGGAATTTATTTTAGGACTTTTGTGTTTTTATTTTGCCCAAAGCATTTCTTGCTGAGATTAAGATACCCATGCTCCTACATGATGATCTGTTTCCTCCTGGGACCCAAACAAGTAATAGTGAATCCCCAGCTGAGCCCTTGAGATAAACTGTAATGCAAGCTATAAGCAAAATAAGTGCCACGTCACAAGTCCATTATGTTCCTGGGGAGCATATGAGTCCCTATGTGGGACGCTTAAGAGACAAGGTAGATCTCTCTAGCAGGGCCTCAATCCTAGCACCGACAGCAGGAGAAAAGCAGTTTAGTAGTTTTTGTACTACAGTAATACTTAAAGGGCCAAGATCAAAATCACCACACAAACACATGGTGAGGGACACGTTGCTCAGCTTGCTGCCTCAAACAGGTAACACACATCAAACAACTCGGAGCACAGTGAGGCGGCTCTCCCGAGGGGTCTCGCTACCAAAGTCCCTTTGCATATATATAACATAGAGGAAGAACTAACGATATAGTGTAATAGCGGGTATTAACCACCATCCCAGCACTGAGCACGAATTTGTGACTACCCCCTCCCAGACGTAGTTCTTCTAACTTCGCTCTAGAGAGAAGGAAACTTAGCGGTGAGATGCCAGGCTGGGGCTGTTTTAACGGGATATAAAAGGACTGAAAGCGAAACGATTTACGGACAATTTGCGAGAGCAAAGTGTCAGCAGGAGAATCCCCTTTGCCCCAGCAGGCATCACCGGCTCTTTGCATTTACCCAGTTTGTGGTCTAAAACCGACTGATAAAACTCCGTTTGTGTTGTTTCCTTACTTTAAATCTTTCCTCCCAGGGGGTCTGCAGGAGCTGAATCATCTCCAGGGGGGATCCCAGCTCCAGCATGGCTGTGACCCGCAGCTCAGCATCTCCGCTGTTCTCATAGCACTGGCCGTGCAGCTGCGGGAGAGTACAA